TTTGAGATTAGATGGTGTTAATTCCTTCAGCCCCAATCTGGCTACAATACTGATGTTCAGGCACACATTTGTTAGAAAGTGCTTTGAACCTGTAAAATTGGAGCCACTGACTTTGCTATCATCCAGATTCTACCTGCTCTCTCAAGGACCTAGCACACATCTTTGACTAAATATCAGTTGGGCAACTAAACAGATAAGTTAATAAACCAAGCTTATTTTAATTTCCTCACTTTTTGACATCGATAGCCTCCCCAATTCTCCATCACCTTCAGAAGATAGATTGGACTTCGTCACAGGTAGACCGTAGTGCCTGAACAATGGAATCTGTATTGAACCTTGGTTTTTCAGTCAATCCCTGTCTTCCTTGCAATCCAGCCATCCAAATGACCTTTTCCTTTTGTGAAAAGACCACGTTCTGGTCTCGTTTGCACGTGCATCTTCACATTGTCTTTTGCAGAAGTCACCCTCGCCCCTTCATTCTAGCTTTCGCCTCTTACTCTCTCGGGGCCCTCCTACTCAACAGCCTAAAGAGCTGCTCTTTGGGGGAAATTTCCTAATGCTTTTAAGTCTTGTTTTTGACAGTTGTGATTCAGCTGAGATTCAGATAAGCTCCTCAAGGCCCCACAGCTTGTAAACGCAGATTCCAATTTATCCTGGTTTATCAGACTCCAGATAAACATTATCACATTTGCGTTACCCCCTCACAACTCGAGATCAAAAAGGAGACGTGACTGGCATAAGATGGCAGGTTTTGTAGCCTGAAATCCAGGTGCATTTTATTATACCAGAGAAATCGCTGTCTCTGGCATTGGAAAACCCTAGCTTTGTGATGTGGGACAAGTTATCTGATTCACTGCTGACCAAATTACAAAAGTTCCCTCATCACTACAAATTGGAAAAAAAAACAACTTTGGACAAGTACCTATAAAGTAAATTCCACTACTGATTAAAAAATAATCACTGGGCAATGCTTTGCTTTTCCATTTGCCTTAGATAATGCTCGGTCTAGACACTGCCTATCCTTTGTCTTTGTTAGCAAATGAGAGCCCATGACCTTTGTTGTGAGCTCCTGAGGGGATCAGAGGAGCTGATTGACTGTTCTCCTACTGGGTAATCACCGGATGGTCAGCAAGATCACCTAGCAATCAGACAAAGGTCAAAGCAGAGATACTTCAACCTCTTGCTTGGACTTTAGCATCTAGAAACTATCAAGTGAAATGTGGTTTTGAAAAGTCCAGAAACAACAGCTTTGGTGGAGACAAGAACAGAGCAGAGGAAGGGAGTGTGTAGACATCATGTCAGTTGTGGTGATGGGATAACTGTTTCAGAAAACTCTCCATCTAAATGGAAATGGAGCAAACAGCTCGAGTTATAAGAAAGTTGTGCTGCTGTGGTGTGTATATGTGGAGGAATAAGGGATCTGTAGTCAATGCCAAACCTAAGCTCTACTCTAATAGCCCAGAAAAGTTTAGCGTTAGCCATATCACTTCTTTCTTCTTTCTTTCTACTCCCTTTGTTGAAGGAGCAAAACTGAATTTGCACTAAAACTTGTAATCACTTTTTGAACCATCTGATGGGACTCTATAGCTCCTCTTGGCAACTCAGTCTCAGCATCCAAAAAGCCACCCTTGATCTTCTAAGCATGCTAACAGCGGTCCTAAGGTTGATGCCTGAATTTGACAATGATAAATTTTAAAAAATATATATGGGGACTTGAAAACCAAGATGAGATTCTCGCTCCATGGTCCTCCTAGGATCATACTTCAGCAGGCACCTTCTGGCAGTGCTGAAGCTGTCTGCCTTGCCCTAAACACACTTCAAAAGTCGCAGTGGAAAAGGCTGACGATGATTTTCAGACGCTTCATCTGTAAGATCAGCACACATTGCCTTAGAGCAAAGAAACGCCAGGCAAACAGGATGTCTCCAGAGCCAGATGCTCTTCTGAATAATCTAACTAAAGGGCTTATCAAGTCAAAACCAGACTAGGACAAATGTACACTAATCACATTGACAACTCAACAAGAGGAGAAGGAATCACCCAGGCCAAGCTACTGCCCAGCTAGCACGGCTTAGGCTAGCGTACGCCCTTGCTTAAAAGAACTTTACCTACCCCTGTGATAGTCAGTTACACACAGAATAAGGCCTGGACTTATGAGATCCTCAGTGGTAATTTTTAACTAAACAGCTACATTAATGAATGAGTAATTAATAAGTGTCACTAGTAGGGCTTTGGTTGGCTACAGATGCCTTACCAAACTGTTAAATATGAGAGCTGCATATTAAATTGCTCAGACCTGACTTTTAACATCATTTGGCCTTCTCAGTGTTTAATCGGAAGACCCAAGTATACATAATCCCAGTCTAAATGGTGACCTTGGCATTGAGGATTTGTAATCAGTCTTTGATTTCAGCTCTTGTGGAGTCTTAGCAAATGAGGCTTCTCATTCTACAGGCCTGAGACAGATCTTGAATATTGAGAACATCATAAAGATTATGCCACTGGAGTAGAGATTAATGGTTCTGAATTTTTATTCAGAGAGTACTCTTGGATAACATTATTTATTCTATCTGATAGTGTGTGCTTTTTAGATCTACCCTGCTTTATGTGCTATACAATTGGCACGGATGCCTAACTGGCCACTATTTTAGCTTGCATAAGAAATTACTTTCTTGAACCTTATCTTTAAAGGACAGTCTTCCCTGGGAAAGACCCAAACTTCTTCTGACTTCAGTCTGCTATCAGAAACCCTATCACATGGCTTTTCTGGGCTATGAATAAGATCTCCTCATTATAACCCCATGCATTGCTTGAATCTGTCTGAAATATGAGAGCTGATATAAGAGAACTTTCTTCAAGTTGTTTTTTTGTTTGCTCTTTTAAGCTGGGGTTTCACGTAGCTGGTGCTGGCCTCAAACTGAACATGTAACTGATGATAAGCCATAATCCCAGCACTTTGGAGGAGATAGAGTCATGCCATTTCTGTTGCTTTTAGGCATCAAAATTAGTGAGCAAATTTTCAGTACAGTGCCCCTGACGTCTAGTGACCATCTTGCTGCATACATCCTCTTTCATGGGTAAAGAAAGAAGGACCTGCTAATGGCTTACAAAAGCCACAAATGTTCACTGTATGCTAAATTATATATCCTTTGGGGACAATACAAAATGATGGTCGTGAGCCATGTTTCAGGCCTAGCCAACTACTGACAGATGCGTTTTCTGTGTGCAGTTGCAAAAGGAAGAGTGGGGGGAGGTTCTGGATTCAAAACCCCCACTCTGTACGCACACACTATGTTGTGATGGTAATATAAGGTATCCAGTGGTCCTGCATCCCCTGAGCCTGCTCTCACCACCACCACCACCAGCACCACCATCATCACTATGGATATTGTTGGTAAGGAGACACTGTCGTGTTGATGGCCAGATGCTAAGCTCTTTTCCCTCCCCACAAAGCTGCTTATAGTACTGCATCCTGTGCTGTTCCCACTCAGGAAGGCACATGATTGCTACGCGTGGTGCAGCCTTGCACTGAGGAAAAGGGATAGGACGCTTTGACACCCGAATTGCTGGGTATCAAATCTCTTCCATTATCTTCCTAAGGAACACAATGTGTTGCAGCTGGAAAGAGACACTCTGACTTGAAGCCAAATCAGGCTGCCTTCCAGCTGCTGGAACTGGCTCCTAGGGAGGTGAAGTCTATGCAGCTTCAGTGCTGTGCTCCCCACTCTTCATATAATTGGATCTGAATTAGAACTGCACATTCATAAAACTCTTCTGTCACTTTTTGTCAAAGATTTCTCTTTCAGATGCCTAAAGTATCTATTAAAAATTTAGCCTCCAGCGGTATCTTTTGAATATAGCTCAGTAATTTGGGTTCTGGAGCACGGCACCAGTCCGCCACCAGCTTGCAAATGGACAAATTACTCAAAAGACATTTTCCACCCCTCAAATATACTTCCAAGAAAGAATAGGAAATGCCCCATAACTCTAATGGAATCCATTTGCTACAAAACAAATCATTCGGGTCCGTGGAACTAGAAATGCCTTTTGCGCATAAAACTGGAAGGAAGAGACAGCAAAATAGCAGCTAAACCCAGAAAGTCATCACCAACGAAACACATGATTCAAGGCAAAATGAAATTCTCATTGAAAAGATGGGCTACCACGCATCACGCTGAGCCTAGAGTAGCTGTCACTTTATGTGTGAAAGGGGGGAAAATGCATGCAACATTTCTGTATGAATTTCATGGAAAATGGACTGTTTGTTCCTTGTTAGTAGCTTATGTAAATATTACAGGAAACAGCATATGCCTTCAAATAAAAAGAAAAGTAGAACGTTTCAAAATGCTCATACATAAATCCTGACATCAAATTGCACAGATGTGAGGATGTTGGAGCTTGAGCATTAGATGATGTGCTTAATACATTTGTTCTTTCTTGAAGAGATGAGGTATAATTGTGTGCAATCATCCTGTAGCTAGGAATTATATTAAGAACTCTGAACTCTAAGTACCAAATCAAACTAAATCATCTCTTTTCCTATTTTTCTTCTTCATTCGTGGCGTTGTTTCCTGAAGCTCTCATTAGAACTGTAACTCTACTCCCCGTAACCTGTAGGTTTTCCTCCAAAAAGGAAGGCAGCCTTCCCCTCTCCTTTCCCTCAGAATCTACCTCAGACTACAGATAAATAATTCCAATGAACAATAATGCCTTATTGGGTAGAACTGAGTCGTTGCTGCCTTTTCACAAATACTTAGCGTATTTTTCAAATCTGTTTTCAATGTCCCTTGAGAAAAGAGAGCATGTTCTAGAAGAAAGGTTAATGGGAAAACATGAGCCACATCGTGACATTAAATACAGACTTCTTTTCCAAATCTAAAAACCACAGTCCTCCTCCATTCGGTTCTAAAGCAGGCAAAACATCCTTGGCTAATGAGCTATCCACAAATGACCATTATTGAATGAATAATAAAGGAATCATAGCGACGTGATTTCCACTTACATCAACCACAAAAATCTTCTGGGAATCATCCAAAAACTGCACTTTTAGATGGAGCATCCTTAGCGAGGCAGTTGGGCTGCGAGCAGATTCCGAATGCCGTGGGTGCTGTGACAGGAAGGGGGCTTGCTCCAGGAATCTCACTCTCAGCTGGATGCTGAGCACTCGGGTCCCCCCACCCCCAGCCAGGCATCCCTACTTTCAGCGGGGCCCACTTCTATTTGCTCGAAGTAAAGCACACCCAAGGGCGTTTGCGCTGCTGAGTGCTGGGGATCAATATCATCCGGGCAGCTTCTGCTTTGGTCCACATGAAATCCAACTGGACTTTAAACGCATCACCTCTCTGCAAAGAAAAAGAAAACAGCGAGGAAATGGTTGTGGTTCTCTTTCCTTCCAAAAAGAGCGATTTGGAAACACTTGGTGAAACTTGGAGAAGCTGAGACTAGCCATTCTCAGAAGCAGAAAGATTAGAATTAGTCTCATTTTATGTTAGAGATGCCATAGCTGAGCTTAGAAGCCATGTGAGCTACACTTTACACTTTAAAAAGACATATTCTCTTGATTCTTTTGAATTCCCCTGATTTACAAACAAAAACTGCTATCTTTATCCTTAGATAACCTTTATCCATATATGACACATGTATACTTTTCAATTGTCTTGAACATCCATAACTTAGAAATGAGAACCATACAGCCAAGAACATACAGAAAGCTCCATTTCTAACCCTGCCTGCTCCGTTCTCTGTCACATATCCCTATCAACAATCAATTCGAGCCGTCTCCTTTCCTGCAGTTGGTTTACATTCAGAGTCTCTACAAATCCCATGCGTTCCTCCTATGTAGACCACGGGCTATTATTATGCTGTTCACTCCTTGCCTTTCTTACCTCCTAGTCCGCAGATCTCCATCAGCGGTGCCTACAGAGCTTCCTCCTCTCTTCACACAGGGGCGTTTTGGCTTGTGGAGACAAATCACCACGTACTCTTCCCTGAAATCCTTCTTTCTGCCTCAACGGGGCTAAATTAAATATCGCCGTACATGTCATTTCACGTGACTGTAGGTCTGTCTCTCTAACAAATCTCCAGAAAGTGGGTTTGCTGATCAAAAGTAATGCCGTGTTAATTGGCTCATCACTTCTAAGTTTCCTTTCATACGAGCTGTTGTTGTCTGAATTGTCACCCAAAATTTGAATAATTCCAGAAATGTGGGGATGGAGTTGGTCTGAAAGAGATTGGAAGAGGTCGTTAAATTCAAGCAAGGTTATTGAGGTCAGTTCGGACCCAGACCCATAGGGGAGCATGGATAATACATTGAGAATTTCAAGATATGGGGAAGAGGATATGGACACCTAGAAGCCCTGGGAAGTCATCTCACAAGACCCGTAAACACATTGAGCTCAGACTTCTACCTCTGATGTTATGAGAATATGAATTGCTATTTATGTCCCCCAGTTTATAGTGCTTCATTCTGGAGGTGCATCAAATAATGCAGTCTTCAGAGCAATGGGGGAGAGGACAGCAGTTTTTCCACAGTCTAGACAAAACTCTGTGGTGTTCAAACTGGAAGGTGCCAAGAAAAGAAATCTCAGCATAACCCTAAACTTCAATGAATTCTCATTATAATGTTTAAAGAGCATATCAATTCCTTTTAAGGTATGAACAATTTGCTTTTTAAAATGTCTTCACTTTCTTATCTTTTCTCTTCCACTTCTAGGAACATTTGGTAATTTTTTTTTAAGTTAAGGAATGTGTGGCCCAGTTATAGAGTGCCTGAATAACATATGTGAACTTCTGGGCTTGATCCCCAAAACGGAAAAACAAATAAATGAGAAAGTGAAGAAATCAATAAATACATAAATAAATAAAATCACAAATGCTAGTCATATGCCATTGGCATTAATTAAAACATTTTCATTCATTTTTCTTCTATCTGTTAATTTTGCTTAAATTGTGTGTCTCATGAGAAACTCTTATTTTTGTGTAATTAAAGTAATCAATTATTTTAAAGATAGTCTCTGGATTTTATGTTTTATTTAGTGTATGTGTGCCTGTGTGGGTGCACGTGTATAAGAGAGAGAGAAAAAAAAACTACAGTGAGGGTGTGGAGGACCAGCAGTGAGAGTTAGCTCTCTCTTTCCACCATGCATATTCTGGAGATCAAACTCGGGTCATCAGATTTTTTTGTTTAAACAGAAAAGGGGAAATGGTGTGAGAGGTCCTTCTGTCTACGTGTTGCTTTTGTTAGTTAATGAATAAAGAACTGCTTTGAGCCTATGGCAAGGAAGAACATAACTAGGCAGTGAAAGCTAGGCTGTATGCTGGGAGAAAGAAGGGCAGAGTCAGAGAGAAGCCATGGAGCCACCTTAGATAGACACTGGAAACTTTAGCCAGTAAGCCATAGCCATACGGCAATATGCAGATTAATAGAAAATGAATTAAATTAATATGTAAGAGTTAGCCAATTGTAACGGCGTAAATGAATTCAGACAGATTGTAATAATATATACAGCTTTAATGGGGAAATAGACTTACAGAACCACCAGTTCCCACAGAGAACAGGGAAGCAGAGAGATCAGCGGGCTCACACTCGCGAGATTTATAAGTAAACATTAGCCCGAGGCGAACACGCCCCCTCATGGGCTGGGCTTATCCCTACATCTCCCCCTTTTGTCTAAATAAGACAGAACTATACCAAATACAACTATATACAATAATAACAAATAATAAATATAATAAACAATATTGAGAACAAAAGTTTTGCTAAACATTCTATCTCAAGGAGTCTAAATAATGTAGAGAGTAACTACAATTATATAATCTTCAACTCCGTCAAAGATCTGAGAAGGGAATAAATATTACTTAACAAAAGAGAGATATCCAAAATGTGCAGCAAATGACAGAGACAACTGACTACCTGGGCAATCACCCAAAGTCTCATTTGTAATGTTGAGTCAACCAACTTTGGCTAAGGCCTAACATAACTGAAGGCAAGGAACTTTTTTAGAATTATCTTACCCTGTCTTGGCAAGATAAGACAATCCTGTTTCATATCTTTGTCAGTAGTTGAGGTATGGGCTTTTCTTAACCCAAAGGCCAGTTTTGCCAAGAAGACAAACTCCCAGTGGAGTGTCCTTGGTGCTCAACGTTCTCTCGGGAGTAGAGTGGTGTTGCCAGGAGTAATTGTGTCTCGTTGGCACAGAATTCTAGGTTAGATTAAAGGCCATTTTCTACAGCTCTTCGAAGAGGCTGAAGATTATACTATCTATACTAAATATAATCTCTATGTATCTAAAAGACCTGATAACCTAAAAATAAATATGACAAACATATAATTCTCAATACCTATCTAACTTGAAGACTAAGAGAATAAACAACTGTGCAATATATGAAGACAATGATCTTTAACTGTAAACAATGTCATTATATAAATAGTATCAGAGGTAGAAATGTACATTGTGATATGGTAGATTTATCAATACAATATATACAAAGTTATAAGCATACTCTTGTACAAAAATAGAGGTAGGAATGCTCACATTCAATATTTAATATATCAATATACAAGAAACAGCACCAATACAATTTTTTAAAAACAGTAAATCACAAATATCAATCATCCCATCTGGCAAGGGGGAGAGGCCTCCGGATGGGGTGGGGGCCGCTGGCTCCCAGCAGTCACCAGGGTGGGTATCCACAAAACCCCACTTTGGGTGCCAAGTGTAATGGCGTAAATGAATTCAGACAGATTGTAACAATATATACAGCTTTAATGGGGAAATAGACTTACAGAACCACCAATTCCTGTGGAGAACAGGGAAGCAGAGAGAGTGGCGGGCTCATGCTCGCTAGATTTATAAGTAAACATTAGCCCGAGGCAAATACACCCCCTAATGGGCTGGGCTTATCCCTACAGCCAATAAGAAGCTAGAGCTAATGGGCCAAGCAGTGATTTAATTAATACTGTTTCTGTGTGATTATTTCAGGTCTCAGCTAGCCAGGCAGTCAGGAACCAACAAGTGACCTCCCTTCAAAAGACAATCACTTTAATACATAGAGCCATTTTACTGGCCTTAGCATTTGGGTTGTGTATAAGAGTTGAAATCACTTTCTTTGCCTCAGACTTCTGGTCAGGGTTCCTATTGCTGTTACAAAACACTATGACCAAAAGGCAAGTTGGGGAGGGAAGGGTTTATTAGGCATACACTTCAGCATTGCCATTCACCCCTGAAGGAAGTCAGGACAGGAACTCAAACAGGGCAGGATCCTGGAGACAGGAACTGATGTCGAGACCATGGAGGGATGCTGCTTATTGACTTGCTTCTCCTGTCTTTCTCAGCCTGCTTTCTTACAGAACCCAGGACCAGCAGCTCAGAGATAGAACCACTCACTATGGCTTGGGCTCTCCTACATAAATCAGTAGTTGAGAAAATGCCTTACAGTTGGATCACATGAAAGCATTTCCTCAGCTCCTTCCTCTCTGATCACTCTATCTTGTGTCAAGCTGACACATAAAATCATCCAATACAGTAATTAAAATGTTTTTCTTTAAACTTCAATCATTGATCTATTTGGGTTTTGTGCTGATGTGTGCTGTGAGGTATGAATTCAACTTAATCTTTTTCCAAATGACTACTCAGCTTTTCAGATGTTATTAATCAGAAAGTTCATATCTACTTCTATTGATTTGGGAAGCTTTATTTAGCAAATTCAAAAATATGTACTTTGGTCTATTTGAAGTTTTTATGACCTTCCATCCATTCACAAATATCACAGTTGGTTTTTGAAGCTCTAGAGCATGTGTTAATATCTAGTAAGGTTATGAATGCTCCCATACTTTTCTTTTACACAATTATCCTGTTTTGTCTTTGTTCACTTATTTTTTTTCTGTATACTATTACCTTGTCCAGTTTCAGGCAACAAATAGTGTGTATTATAACTTTGCTTAAGGATAATCTATATCTTTGTGATGATGAGTAGCAGACTATGTTTTTCTGTTTGTTTAAATTTTTCGTATACATTGTTGTGTTGTATGGACACACATGTTGAGTTCCAAGGACAAATTCCAGCAGTCAGTTCTCTCCTTCCACTGTAGGTTTGGGAAATCAAACTCAGGTCACCAGGTCTTTATCTACTGAGCTGTCTTGCCAGCCTCTTGTTCAATCCTTAGTTTATTTCTTTCTTTCCTAAAACTTTATTGTATATTACATATATTTTGTAAATAAAGAAGAGCAAAGAATTAGTCTTCTCCAAGGGTCCCATAGCATGTGGTCAGTCCTAAAAACATAAACATACAAGTAGACAGACACAACAAGTTCTATTTGTACATCTTGGGTTTTTTTTTCTT